CGTATGACATTTCTTCACGCCTCCGGTTCTTGCAGGATTGGAGTTTCCACCATTGTGTGCAGGAGAAGATTACAGTGGCTCTGGTCTGGATATAGCGAAGAGTGTTGCTTCCGGTTGGCGTTACCACTCTTATATAGCTTCAGGTGGGCCATCCTGGCTACTACGAAGAATTGAGAGTGAAGGCTCGTCCTTAAGCTTCTGAATTAATGTTTTTAGTGTTTCTCATGCTCTGAGGGGTCTACTGACATCCTGTCTTACCGGAGCTTTGTGTTTTTTCTCTTTGCTTTTATTGATTTCTTGTTTTCGGGTAATCATCCCCTGTGGTCATTATGGCCTGTATTTTGTCTGAACCACCATGATTCCTTTGGAAATTAATTTAATCAGTGTTAAAAAAAAAGATAAACAAACTAAATATACATACAGTACAACTATAATTTGAACGTAACCCTTTTTTTCAATCTAAATTTTTTGAATTTAAAAGTTGGACTCCAAATAAATTATTTGAACATATCTTAGGCTCCGATGAGGTCGTACCTCTAGTCTCATGCTAAGCATTGATGTTCTTATGATCAACTCCTGCAATGCATTTCACTTTCTGTATGATACATATGACTACAATAGAAAGGTCTACATATAGTCTTATTGTCTTAGACCTAAAAGTATAAAGATACAAATATAATGTCTGACACATATATAGGCACCACATGCTATTTGGTAAACTGGTTTGATTACTGCAGATCCAAGAAAAGCGTACGCAATTGGTGCTAAGAAACACGACAATTTCCTTTTCTGTTTTGTTTTCATATCCTGAAATTCATAAGATGTGATGTTCCATCCAGTCCTTTCTCAGTGTATCCATCTGTGTATTCTTTTATGGTTATGTCTCTGTATTTTGGAGGGTTTTCTTCAGACACAAGCTCTTTCATTGGTCCATACACTGTGGAATTGGCACGTTGACTTGAGCTAAAAAAGCTCGCTACTGATATCCTTGGTCCTTGTCTATTCGCAAGCACCCTATGCTCCACACTTACAAACTTATCGTTCGTTATCAGCTGCAGAAACCCAAACGCATAAATAAACAAAATACATTTGTTATGTGTTTTTTTTCCTCAAATTTATACTTTACCTGCAAAAAATCTCCAATGTTGATGACGAGAGCTCCAGGAAGAGGAGCGACATCGACCCAAGAGTCTTGATGAAGAATTTGTAGACCACCGATGTTGTCTTGAAGAAGAACCGTGAGGAAGGAGTTGTCTGAGTGTTTACTTGTCCCCAAAGTTAGGTCAGGTTGTGGACAAGGTGGGTAATAATGGCAGATCATAAGCAAATTCTTCAAGCACTCCTTGCTCTTAAGGATATCAGATTCCAAACCTAGTGCTTCCGAGAGAAGCTCAAAGAGTAAACCACCTAAACTCATCACATGTTTTGAGTATTCAAACATAGCATCCCTGAATCAACCGATGATGTAAGAAATCAATAAGACTGACGATAACCACATGTTTTGACAATTGATGTTTGCCTATCCGGGCTGATCAATCTTTTGATTAAAAAAATTAGTATGACCAATATTAAACAATTAAAACTTCAATTTCTTTTAAAAACTTGAGATATATTTGCTATCCTAATGAAATGAGTTCTGATTGATGATTAGGGCTTTGGTTTGTGACCTCCAATAAAAAAGGATAAAGAAGTCAAGTCTGTTTCCGTCACCTGCAAGTCACTGGAAGTTCTTCAGGAGATGGCGGATCTGGAGCTATGAAACAAGCGAAAGTATCTCTCCAGTTAACAGATGGCGAGGAACCGTAGAGATCAAAGTTACTATTGTAGGTAAAACTTTTGTTGGCGAGATCACGCGAGAAATACTGTTTCTTGACCTCAGGATCTTCCTCGTGAAACCTACGAACTGCATCTTGAATCTCTTCAAGAACGTTCAAAGGAACACCATGGTTGATCACCTGGAAGAATCCCCACTTCTCCGCCGCGTATTTAACCTTCTCTACAACGGCTTCACGTGACGCTGCATCCACGTGGACGCTTGCAAAGTCGATGATAGGGATCTCTAGGTCTGAAACAGTTTCAGAGGGTTTCTTGTCGGTCAAGGAATCTTTGGGGGCGTGGAAGATACGTGGGACTTCAGTGATTTTAGCGTCAACCAGGCCCTTTACTCCTTCTTTCGTCTCGTCAAAAGCTTTGCGCTCCATATAAGGATCGATTTGTACCGAGGTTTTGGTCTCCATTTTTTTTTTTCTATTTCGAAATATTTGCTTGGAAGAAGATAAAGCAAGATGAGGAATATATAAGAGGAAAGAATGAGAATCGTATGTATCCGACTTTGTTGAATTTCTGATTGTATCTGATTGGTGGATGATTGGTTGGTTTTTAACTTTTGTCTCTCACTCCCTCTCACACACACAACCACAAACTTAGTGACTTGTCCTAGTTGAATTTTTCTTCTATGTTATTGACTTGTCTTTGTTGAATTGGCAAGAGAATTTTTGTGGTTACATCTACAAACGGTGAATTAACGTAGAGAAATTTGATGGTGAACAAAAAAAAAACGTAGAGAAATTTGAAGATATACTTATTTTCTCTTTTCTCGCGATTTGTTATTTCAATTCTAGTATCATTACAAAGACACGTGTTTGTTGGACCTTTGAGCAAAAGAAAATCAGACCGTCAATATTTATGTTTGTTTGAAATTTTTACTACATCTTTTCTGAACAAAAATTACTGCGATTATTAGCTCCTACTATTCGAATTACCTTTTGATTTACCAGTAGCATAAGAAGAATTAATAGCATGTTCTTAAACTAACGTTTTTTGTAAATTATGTTATAAAAAATAATATAATTTGAAATCTTTTCAATCTGTTTTTCATATAAAACATATATAGTTAATTAAGGCTCCTAATTGTAATAACTAATTATTAGACCCCTGGGGTGGTCACATTTTTTATCGCCGACCCTAGATGTTCTTTATGATCAATTTGTGCAATATATTTCACATAATGTAACAAAAGCTTTATACGATACAATTAGTAATCCGTTGATTTTAAAAATATCCAGAAAACTAGAATAAATAAAAGATCTTATTTAGTTTAAAAATATCTAAAATCAGTATCCCTTTAAATTCGTTGAGATCTCTATGGATCTACCGAAAAAAATGAACAAAAAAAAAACTTTCAATTTTTATTAATAAATAAAAACTGAATACAACTCTTAAATCTAAACGGTTATATATAAGAAAACTATAAAACTCTAAAATAATAAAAATTAGGGTCGGACCGCCCTACACGCGGGTATGCAAGTGAACAAATCATTAAAATATATTTTAAATTTTAATTTATTTTTGTTTCTTTTAATTATAAATTTCACTATTTTATTACAAATTTTACTATTTTTATAGAAATTATATATTTTGCTGTATTAAACAATTCATAGAAATTATAACTATTTTACTTTGTTCACAATGTTTGTATTTCTTACATTTAATTGATTTTTAATACATCTTTTCTTAAATTTTATAATTTATAAAATTCAAAAAATAAAAGCCAATTTCTTATTTTATAAAAAGCAAGTAGCATAAAAATATGATAATGATGTTGTTAGTAGTTTAAGGGAGTAATATTTGGTTGTAACTACTTCCGTGGAATGATTCTGATGTTATTTGATAACTTTATTACTCCTACTTTGTTTGAGTAAGTTATTTTCACACTATGGTATAAGACTTTAAGTAGTATGTTGAACCCTTAGCGTTTTTAACATTACCATTTTTAACTTTTAAAGATAGCAGCTTCATATTTGACCAAAGAAAAAGGATATTAGCTTTATACAGTTTGGCCAACTTAGATATTCTTTTACTTTTTGGATAAAAGACAATTGGCCTCGAACAGACTCATGCTTCTCTCTAGTGACATCTCTGGGTTGCTTTTCAAGCTCTCTAGCTTCCTCAGGGATCTAAACAAACAAAACCAATAGCTTATACATCCTACTTTCCACTATTCTACCCAAATAAAGAGACATATATTGCAATGTTTTAGTAAAGACAAAAGAATTACCCTTCAGAGCTACATGCTTCCTACACAACTCCAAAATATCTGAATACTTCTATGCCACATCTACTTGAAATAAGCTTGGCTTTGTTTTGATCATGTTCAGTTCTTAATCTTAGGATATCTGCAGTTTGGGCCTGTAAAGATAAATAAAAACACACATCAAGGGGGTTTTAACTTAAAATGTCGACAAAAAGAAAACTAAAATTTGACAAGAAAATTGTATATAAACCTGTTCCAGCCAAATGATTCAATTCGGTTCAGTCAACTGATTTTTGAAATTAAACCTATTTTTTTGAAAATCATTCAAATGATCCATGCGAATGAGTTGTACTTTTTGTGTCTAAACGATAAGAAAGTTCATTTACATTCGAATGGATCATTTGAATGGAGAAACGAACAGAGCCCATATTGTTCAAATAGCTTTTCCCGGGACAAAAACAGACTACGAGCATCTGAAGGAAAAGATACTTAAATGGCAACTATGCTTTTTACTTTCTCGAAAACCGAACATGCAAAATCTCGGGTGAAGTTTTGAGGATGTCCAAGACAAACAATGAAATCTAAAAATAGTTATGAAATTAGACACTTTGTATTAGGTTAGATGAGCTTTCACTTTAAAACTAATAATTGGCGATAATTGGATTTTGTCCATCTCTTTATATATTACGTAGGTTCCTTTCCGTAACTTTATTTCTACTACGATCTTATTTAAGATGATGACTGTGTCATTCTCGAATATTTGGGAAAAAAATTGATGAATCAACTTTCCGGTCAAATTGATTATGAATCAAGTTGGATTGTGTGAATCAGATGTTAAGTTACATGAATTTCCAATTTAAAATCAAAAGGCTATAAGTGAACTGACTAAGTTTAGGATATTTTCCAACGTTTGTCCCGAGTGTAATGTACAACGTGGATGTTCTTATGATCAATTTGTGCAATGCATTCCACTTATGTATAGTCTTATTAATATAACGAAAGTAGAAAGATCCACACATAGAGTCTGATACATCCGCACACTCACACTATTTGGTACACTAGATTAATTATGCAGATCCAAGAAAAGAGTAACTGATGCTAAGAAACAACATAAATATCTTTTTCTGCAGTTTTGTTATCATATCCTGAAATTCAAGAGATACGATGTTCCATCCAGACCTTTCTCAAAGTATCCATCTGTGTATTCTTTTATGGTTATGTCTCTGTATTTTGGAGGGTTTTCTTCAGACACGAGCTCTTTCATTGGTCCATAAACTGTGGAGTTGGCATGTTTACTTGAGCTAAAAAAGCTTGCAACTGAAATCCTTGGCCCTTGTCTATTCGCAAGCACCCTATGCTCCACACTTACAAACTTGTCGTTTGTTATCAGCTGCAAAAACTTAAGCACATAAATAAACAAAAGAGATTTTGTATCTATGTTTTCTTTTGTTCTTTCAAATTCTTACTTTACCTGCAAGAAATCTCCAATGTTGATGATGAGAGCTCCAGGAAGAGGAGCCACATCAACCCAAGAGTCTTGATGAAGAATTTGTAGACCACCGATGTTGTCTTGAAGAAGAACCGTGAGGAAGGAGTTGTCTGAGTGTTTACTTATCCCCAAAGTTAGGTCAGGTTGTGGACAAGGTGGGTAATAATGGCAGACCATAAACAAAGTCTTCAAGCACTCCTTGCTCTTAAGGGTATCAGATTCCAAACCTAGTGCTTCTGAGAGAAGCTCAAAGAGTAAACAACCTAAACTCATCACATGTTTTGAGTATTCAAACATTGCATCCCTGAATCAACCAATCATGTAAGAAATCAATAACTTTTGAAGGAAAATAAAGTTTAGAACAAAAAAAAAAGTTTAGACAAAAAAAAAGAAAAAAAGTTTAGACTTTTAACAGTTGATGTCTGGCCTATCTGACTGATCAATCTTGCTTAACCAAAACTACGACCAATATTAAACAATTAAAACATCAATTTCTCTAAAAAGACTAAAACTTGAGACATATTTGCTATCCAAATGAAATGAGCTCTGATAGATTAGGGCTTTGGTTTGTGACCTCCAATAAAAAAGTCAAGTCTGTTTCCGTCACCTGCAAGTCACTGGGAGTTCTTCAGGAGAGGGAGGATCTGGAGCTATGAAACAAGCGAAAGTATCTCTCCAGTTAACAGATGGCGAGGAACTGTATAGATCGAAGTTACTATTGTAGACAAATTTTCTGTTGGCGAGATCACGCGAGAAATATCGTTTCTTGACCTCAGGATCTTCCTCGTGAAACCTACGAACTGCATCTTGAATCTCTTCAAGAACGTTCAAAGGAACACCATGGTTGATCACCTGGAAGAATCCCCACTTCTCCGCCGCGTATTTAACCTTCTCTACGACGGCTTCACGTGACGATGTGTCCACGTGGAGGCTTGCAAAGTCGATGGTAGGGATCTCTAGGTCTGAAACAGAGGGTTTCTTGTCGGTCAAGGAATCTTTGGGGGCGTGGAAGATACGTGGGACTTCAGTGATTTTAGCGTCAACCAGGCCCTTTACTCCTTCTTTCGTCTCGTCGAAAGCTTTGCGCTCCATATAAGGATCGATTTCGAGCGAGGTTTTGGTCTCCATTTTTTTTTTTTTTTTGTATTTCGAGATGTTTGCTTGGAAGAAGATAAAGCAAGATGAGGAATATGTGAAAGGAAAGATTGAGAACCTGATTGGTGGATGATTATTGCTTGGGTTTTAGCTTTTGTCTCTCTCACTCCCTCCCTCACTCCCAACCACAAAAACGTGGATAGATTTTTTGTGGTTGCATCTACAAAAACGTGGATTAACGTAGAGAATTTGAAGATATACTTATAAGAAAATTATAATTCACCACAATTACAATAAGACTTCCATGGTTGAATTTAATGCGCAAGTTACATCAAGCGAGATTTTTTCTAAGGGTCTTTAGAAAATTATAACCCCTCAGGCCATCCGCAATGGTGAACTTCAAGAGAGTCCTTAGGAATATCGTAGTATTTTTTTTTTTTTGAATAATTAAGGACCCTATCCAATATGTTTAAGTCCAATGGTGAGTCTCGTTTTGGAATCCTTAATAAAATAAATAAATTTTTTTTTAAAGTGAAAATATGAAATCTTTTATTTATAACATGATTTAATAGAAAAATACAATAAAGATAAAAAAAAATACAACAATTATTAATAATCTTCACCAAATTTGTTCCAAGTATTTTCAAGCAAATCATTTTTCAATCGTTGATGTAAACGTTTATCGTGAACATCATCCCCGAATGCCAAGAATATTAGCGATGTTTGTAGGCAGGTCGGTATGTACCCATGAACTTCTTGGGGCGTCTTCTTCAAATTCAGACATATCGTAATGAATGTATCCATCTCGTTCATTCTCGACAATCGTATTGTGTAGTATGATACATGCTCTCATAATCTTTCCTATCTTTCCTTTGTCCAATGAAAGAGCCGGGTTTTTCACAATAGCAAATCGAGCTTGCAAAACTCCAAAAGCCCGTTCGACATCTTTTCGGGTTGCTTCTTGAACTTTAGCAAATAACTCTGCTTTAGGACCTTGAGGGTGCGAGATGGATTGGATAAATCTCGACCATTTAGGATATATACCGTCTGTGAGATAATACGCCAACTTATACATGTGTCTGTTGACCACATACTCTACCTTGGGAGCTCGGCCTTGGAAAATATCATCAAATACAGGAGACCGATCGAGGACATTAATATCGTTTAAGGTACCTGGAGGACCAAAAAAAGCGTGTCATATCCAAAGGTCCTGGGAAGCCACAGCCTCTAACACAATTGTCGGTTTTCCTGATCCACGTGCGTACTGTCCTTTCCAAGCGGTTGGACAATTCTTTCACTCCCAATGCATGCAGTCAATGCTTCCTACCATCCCATGAAACCCGTGTTTCTCTCCAATATCGAAAAGTCGTTGAAGATCATCAGGTGTGGGTCTTCGTAGATACTCATCTCCAAATAACCGTATTATTCCATCGGTGAAATGGTGTAAACATGAAAGTGCCGTGCTTTCACCAAGTCGGAGATATTCGTCTACCGTGTCAGCCGCAGAACCATAAGCTAGCTGACGAATAGCTGCCGTACATTTTTGTAGTGGAGAAAGACCAAACCTCCCGGTCGCACCTCTTCGTTGTCGAAAGAAAGGAATGTTCTCTGCTAGGCTATAGACAATACGCAAGAATAAATCCTTATTCATGCGGAAACGGCGCCTGAATAAATGTGCCGGGTAAGTCGAATCTTCGCTGAAGTAGTCATTCCATAAATGGTCGTGTCCTGCTTCACGATTTCGTTCTACATAAGCATGTCTCCTTTGCGGGTGCTCTTGGGAGTCGACTATGTCATTGTATGTATCTTCGACGATGTCGTCGACTATCTCTTCTAGTCTTGCGTCGACTTCATCGGATGAAGATGATGACATCTTTTAGGTATCCCACCTTAAAACAAAAACAATTGAACAATTTTTTTAAAAAAAAATTATTTAAAGTTTCGAATTTAACCATTTTTAATGCTTTAATTCTAATGTTTTAATCAATCGGAACAATTCTTAAGGTTTTAATCAATTTTAAAATAGCAGTTGAGATACTAAATTTTGAATGCAAAATTAAAATGATAAATTTACGAAATCTAAACATATATACTCAAGTGAACATGTTATCGGCCTATTTTCTTACAAGGAACAAGTGAACATGTTTTATCCAAATACTTTTAGGATTTTTAACATAAAAACCCCTCAACTAAGTTTGTTTTGGGTAAAAACCCCTAAACTAAATATTTAATGAAAAAACCCCTAAACTAATTTTATTTAGTGAATTAAATCCTCGCCGGTCATAATTACATGTACTACCGGTAAATCTTCAGTTTAGAGGTTTTATCATTAAACACAAAAATCAATATAATTCAAAATATAATAACATTATCTAAAAATTCGTAATTTTAATTTTCAAAACTTGCATTTAAAAAAAAAAAAACACATTCGGTAACTATATGAGTCCGATTTGTTATCCTTTTAAAATCAAAATTATATATGTATAAATTTAAAATGTAAAAACCAAGAAAATATAACAAAAATTATCTAATGATTTACGTGTAATAAAAATTATCAAAAGTTATAAATATAAAAACAAGAAAACAGAATAAAAATTATATTTTATTTAATAAAAAATGTAATAATAAATCTTTAGATGATTTTTATTATATTTTGGTGTTTTAAAAATTTAATTTATATATATATGTATATGTATATATATATAATGTTGATGTTAAAACAAATCAAACTCATATATTTACAGAAAGTTTGAAAAATGCTAATTTTAAAAATTTAAGTTACTAATTTTTAAATAATGTTATAATTTTTTTTAGATTTTTAACGATAAAAACCCTTCAACTATCTTTAATATGGGGGTTTACTTGTTAGTTTGGGGGTTTTACCCAAAAAACGTAGTTAAGGTATTTTAGAGTTAAAAATCCATTTTACAAGGATAAGAAATCACGCTTATATTTACAAAAAAAATTAAAATGCTAGTTTTGAATATTAAAATTACGAATTTTTAAATAATGTTATTATATTTTGATTTTTTTATTTTTTTTTATTTTTTATGTTTAATGATAAAACCCCTAAACTAAAAATTTACCGGTAGCACTGGTAATTATGACAGGCGAGGGTTTAATTCACTAAATAAATGTAGTTTGGAGGTTTTTTCATTAAATACTTAGTTTAGGGGTTTTTATCCAAAACAAACTTAGTTGATGGGTTTTTATGTTAAAAATCCATACTTTTATGACAAAGAACAAGTGAACATGTTATCAACCTATTTTCTTATATAGTACATTGGTCTTTTATATAGGTCTTTATTACGGATTATATAACGAGAGAGAGAGCAGGAGACATAATCTTTTACGGATTATATAACGAGAGAGAAATGCAACACACACAAAAATAAAGAGCACTGATAATACATTACCTAAACAGCAGTGGATACAAAGTTAAGTTCACAAACTTCTCCTCTCCGAGGGTGTCTTTTACAAAGATAAAGCACCAAAATCTCAGACACAGAAGAACATTTGCGGTCAGCCGCAGAAACAAGAGGATACAAGTTTTGAAAGTGGAGCTACATTGCAATATGACAACCAAGACAACTACTTATAATACATAGACTTCAACAGATAAATCCGTGACTCCCTTCACATCCGCTAACGACCAAAAGACTTTCAGACCTTCCAATGCACTCGTGACTTCCTTCACATGGCTTCACGGACCCTGACACATCAAATAAGACAATATTTAGTACAGTAGCTAACATTTTAAAAGTACCAACTTCACAAAACAAAAGTAAATACCTACAATCAAGACTAATAAATCACAACATTTCAGACATTAGTTTGAGTTTAAGAGTAGACTCTCTTTTCGCGAGTAAACGTTTTAGGAGTTTATGTCTAGAAATTTTTTATTTCGTTTCCAAAACAACCTGTAGCTTCGTCAACTCCTTCTCTCTAGCACTCTTCTTCTTCTTAACACCAGCTTTCGCAGCCTTTACCCCGGGAGGTCTACCCTCTCGTTCTCCGTCTTCCCCTTCTTCTCTAACATCCTCCAAAGTTGGTTTCTGCTTCTCCTTTCCACCGTCCTTAGCCATATAAATTGCACACCATTTCTGGTCATGTATGAGCTCCCTCCAGCAGTGATCCAGGGTGAACTTGTAGCCGTTATTCTTGGAGAAAAAGTCTAAAGCCGCTGACATGAGATCATCGTCACTTTCACCGCTTTTGAGCTCTCTCAAAGCCCTGTCATAGCATCCAGTAAACTTGAATACTTGCTCGTTTATACGAGCCCACCTCTGCTTGCAAGGACGAAGCTTCCTCGGTATAGTCCCAACCAGGAGAGGGCTTGCGTTGTAGAAGTCAACGATACGGTTCCAGAAAGCATCAGGTTTCTGCTCATTGCTCACCACAGGGTCCTTACTGGTGTTGAGCCACACACCAATAAGGATTTTATCCTCTGTGAGAGACCATTTCCTCCTCCCCTTCGCACTAGACTCCTCGGGAACGGCGTCGGAGAACCAATTAGCTTCATCCGATTCAAGGTCAATGGGGATTTGACTATTTAGTAGGTTAACATAGCCAGAAGTATTAGCCATGGTTACAGGTTTATGATTCATTATTCTACCGTCAAAGACCCTTAAGTAAGCAAACTTTCTACTAATTAAAGCCTATCAAATCAGAGCAGTTGGGAAGACAGAAAGCAAAGAACTATCATTAACACCAAAGCTAGGCCGTACTTTTTTCCTAACTAACTAATTAAAGCAAATCACATCAGAGCAGATAGCAAGTAAGTCCATTTCGAACACAACAACAACATTAACTAGGTTCATTTACAAGCCAACTAAAGTTCATTTCAAACACAACAAAAGTACAACAACAGTAGTAACTGTGGAGTTAAAGAAGGTAATCAGCATTTAAGAAAAAGAGAAAAAGATCATTTCAGTTTATATGTTTTTTTTATTTTTCACAGAAAATAGAATACTATAAACCAAACAGATAGTACGAAGGTGTACAGTTTCTAACCTTAGAGACAGTGCGGATGTCATATACTCTCGTTGTAATCCTTCGAAGCTATTCCTGAAAAACATCAAATTAAATAGGTCAAAAGTTTAAAATTTTTACAGAAAACATT